GTCAAAAAAATTTTGGAAAAAAATTTTTGGGAAAAATTTTTGAGAAAAAAAATTTTGAAAAAAAAATTGGGACAAAAAATTTTTAATAATTAATTGTCCAAGCAGTAATGCTTGGTAACCGTCGCTAACATAAAATTTTCAGTAAAATCAATAAAATAGTAATAATCATAAGAAAGTTTTGGAAAAAAAATCGTAGTCGTGTGAAAATTTCGAGTTAGCGAGTCTTGCTATGGCAACGAAAATCGCTAAATAATTTTACTGAAAATTTTGTTGGCGACGGTTGCTATGTCAACGGTTGCCATGAATTTAATAATTAATTGTCCAAGCAGTAATGCTTGGTAACCGTCGCTAACATAAAATGTTCAATGAAATCATAAAAATAGTAATAATCATAAAAAAGTTTTGTAAAAAAAATTTTGGGAAAAATTTTTTGAGAAAAAAATGTATTGGAAAAAAATATTTTTAGAAAAAAAAAATTTTTAGAAATAACTTGTTTAATTAATTAAAAATATATCCACAATTAAATCTTAGAACTAGAATATGTAAAAAGATATCTAAAATCGGGTCTTAGCGCCAGAATATTTTAATAGTATCAGTATTATACTCATATCGTCATATGGTTCCATACAAAAATGCCTCTGTGTCATTGAGAGCTAGGTCTAAATTGAAATAACTTGTTTAATTAATTAAAAATATATCTACAATTAAGTCTTAGAACTAGAATATGTAAAAAGATATCTAAAATTGGGTCTTAGTACCAGAACATTTTAATAGTATAAGTATTATACTCATATCGTCATATAGTTCCATACCAAAATGCTTCTGTGTCATTAAGAGCTAGGTCTAAATTGAAATAACTTGTTTAATTAATTAAAAATATATCTACAATTAAGTCTTAGAACTAGAATATGTAAAAAGATATCAAAAATCGAGTCTTAGTACCAGAACATTTTAATAGTATAAGTATTATACTCATATCGTCATATAGTTCCATACCAAAATGCTTCTGTGTCATTAAGAGCTAGGTCTAAATTGAAATAACTTGTTTAATTAATTAAAAATATATCTACAATTAAGTCTTAGAACTAGAATATGTAAAAAGATATCAAAAATCGAGTCTTAGTACCAGAATATTTTAATAGTATAAGTATTATACTCATATCGTCATATAGTTCCATACCAAAATGCTTCTGTGTCATTAAGAGCTAGGTCTAAATTGAAATAACTTGTTTAATTAATTAAAAATATATCTACAATTAAGTCTTAGAACTAGAATATGTAAAAAGATATCAAAAATCGAGTCTTAGTACCAGAATATTTTAATTAGTATAAGTATTATACTCATATCGTCATATAGTTCCATACCAAAATGCTTCTGTGTCATTAAGAGCTAGGTCTAATTGAAATAACTTGTTTAATTAATTAAAAATATATCTACAATTAAGTCTTAGAACTAGAATATGTAAAAAGATATCAAAAATCGAGTCTTAGTACCAGAATATTTTAATAGTATAAGTATTATACTCATATCGTCATATAGTTCCATACCAAAATGCTTCTGTGTCATTAAGAGCTAGGTCTAAATTGAAATAACTTGTTTAATTAATTAAAAATATATCTACAATTAAGTCTTAGAACTAGAATATGTAAAAAGATATCAAAAATCGAGTCTTAGTACCAGAATATTTTAATAGTATAAGTATTATACTCATATCGTCATATAGTTCCATACCAAAATGCTTCTGTGTCATTAAGAGCTAGGTCTAAATTGAAATAACTTGTTTAATTAATTAAAAATATATCTACAATTAAGTCTTAGAACTAGAATATGTAAAAAGATATCAAAAATCGAGTCTTAGTACCAGAATATTTTAATAGTATAAGTATTATACTCATATCGTCATATAGTTCCATACCAAAATGCTTCTGTGTCATTAAGAGCTAGGTCTAAATTGAAATAACTTGTTTAATTAATTAAAAATATATCTACAATTAAGTCTTAGAACTAGAATATGTAAAAAGATATCAAAAATCGAGTCTTAGTACCAGAATATTTTAATAGTATAAGTATTATACTCATATCGTCATATAGTTCCATACCAAAATGCTTCTGTGTCATTAAGAGCTAGGTCTAAATTGAAATAACTTGTTTAATTAATTAAAAATATATCTACAATTAAGTCTTAGAACTAGAATATGTAAAAAGATATCAAAAATCGAGTCTTAGTACCAGAATATTTTAATAGTATAAGTATTATACTCATATCGTCATATAGTTCCATACCAAAATGCTTCTGTGTCATTAAGAGCTAGGTCTAAATTGAAATAACTTGTTTAATTAATTAAAAATATATCTACAATTAAGTCTTAGAACTAGAATATGTAAAAAGATATCTAAAATCGGGTCTTAGTGCCAGAATATTTCAATAGCATAAGTGTTATACTCATATCGTCATATGGTTCCATACCAAAATGCCTCTGTGTCATTAAGAGCTAGGTCTAAATTGAAATAACTTGTTTAATTAATTAAAAATATATCTACAATTAAGTCTTAGAACTAGAATATGTAAAAAGATATCAAAAATCGAGTCTTAGTACCAGAATATTTTAATAGTATAAGTATTATACTCATATCGTCATATAGTTCCATACCAAAATGCTTCTGTGTCATTAAGAGCTAGGTCTAAATTGAAATAACTTGTTTAATTAATTAAAAATATATCTACAATTAAGTCTTAGAACTAGAATATGTAAAAAGATATCAAAAGTCGGGTCTTAGTACCAGAATATTTTAATAGTATAAGTATTATACTCATATCGTCATATGTTCCATACAAAAATGCCTCTGTGTCATTGAGAGCTAGGTCTAAATTGAAATATCTTGTTTAATTAATTAAAAATATATCTACAATTAAGTCTTAGAACTAGAGTATGTAAAAAGATATCAAAAATCGGGTCTTAGTACCAGAATGTTGTAGAGTATAAGTATTACACTCATATCGTCAAATGGTTCCATAAAAAAATGCCTCTGTGTCGTTGAGAGCTAGGTCTAAATTGAAATAACTTGTTTAATCAATTAAAAATATATCTACAATCAAGTCCAGGTACCATAATATGTAAAAGTATATCTGAAAACGAGTCTTGGTACCAGAATGTTGTATAGTATAAGTATTATACTCATATCGTCATATGGTTCCATACAAAAATGCATCTGTGTCATTGAGAGCTAGGTCTAAATTGAAATAACTTGTTTAATTAATTAAAAATATATCTACAATTAAGTCTTAGAACTAGAATATGTAAAAAGATATCTAAAATCGGGTCTTAGTGCCAGAATATTTCAATAGCATAAGTGTTATACTCATATCGTCATATGGTTCCATACAAAAATGCTTCTGTGTCATTGAGAACTAGGTCTAAATTGAAATAACTTGTTTAATTGATTAAAAATATATCCACAATTAAATCTTAGAACTAGAATATGTAAAAAGATATCTAAAATCGGGTCTTAGTGCCAGAATATTTTAATAGTATCAGTATTATACTCATATCGTCATATGGTTCCATACAAAAATGCCTCTGTGTCATTGAGAGCTAGGTCTAAATTGAAATAACTTGTTTAATTAATTAAAAATATGTCTACAATTAAGTCTTAGAACTAGAATATGTAAAAAAATATCTAAAATCGGGTCTTAGTGCCAGAATATTTTAATAGTATAAGTATTATACTCATATCATCATATGGTTCCATACAAAAATGCCTCTGTGTCATTGAGAGCTAGGTCCAAATTGAAATAACTTGTTTAATTAATTAAAAATATATCTACAATTAAGTCTTAGAACTAGAATATGTAAAAAGATATCTAAAATCGGGTCTTAGTGCCAGAATGTTGTATAGTATAAGTATTACACTCATATCGTCAAATGGTTCCATAAAAAAATGCCTCTGTGTCGTTGAGAGCTAGGTCCAAATTGAAATAACTTGTGTAATTAATTAAAAATATATCTACAATTAAGTCTTAGAACTAGAGTATGTAAAAAGATATCAAAAATCGGGTCTTAGTACCAGAATATTTTAATAGTTTAAGTATTATACTCATATCGTCATACGGTTCCATACAAAAATGCCTCTGTGTCATTGAGAGCTAGGTCTAAATTGAAATAACTTGTTTAATTAATTAAAAATATATCTACAATTAAGTCTTAGAACTAGAATATGTAAAAAGATATCTAAAATCGGGTCTTAGTGCCAGAATATTTCAATAGCATAAGTGTTATACTCATATCGTCATATGGTTCCATACAAAAATGCTTCTGTGTCATTGAGAGCTAGGTCTAAATTTATATAATTTGATTAATCAATTAAAATATATCTGCAATCAAGTCCAGGTACCATTATACGTAGAAGTATATCTAAAAACGAGTATGGTACCAGAATGTTGTATAGTATAAGTATTACACTTATATCGTCATATGGTTTCATATAAAAATGTCCTCGTGTCATTGAGAGCTAGGTCTAAATTGAAATAACTTGTTTAATTAATTAAAAATATATCTACAACTAAGTGTTAGAACAAGAATATTTAAAAAGATGTCAAAAATCGGGTCTTAGTACCAAAATATTATAATAGTATAAGTATTATACTCATATCGTCATATGGTTTCATATAAAAATGTCCCCGTGTCATTGAAGGCTAGGTCTAAATTGAAATAACTTGTTTAGTTCTGTTGTGCCATCATGTAAAACAAACACCAACAACTATATATCAAGAAACGTTGAATTTATTTATAAATACATATCAGAAACTAAGACGAAGATTATGTATTTTATTGTAAGTTGTTCTCTCGAGGGCGTCTGCAGTAAACCTAGACAATATAATAATATGTTATTTACTTATTTATATTTACTTAGGTATTCTGAAGAAGTCACTTTTCAATTAACATATAACAATTACCAATTTATTAAAAATATTTCAATATAATCTTCATAGCAGAAGACATAATTGTTGACACTGGTGGTAAGTAAAATAAACTGTCAGTAGTATATGACATTTAAGGTTAGGTATGCTTATGTCAAAAACTTAAAAAATTCTAAGCTAAGATATTAATATTTAATTTATTATTAATAAATTTTAGCATTTTATTTTGCTGCTTACTAAATGATAAGTTACCTGTTCGTTCAGTAAAGGTTTTATTTTAAATATTCAATATCAATATTTCCTCAATGCAATACCTGAAGCTTGTGGTGTTATTGTTCTCACTCATTTTCTTTAAAGCGTCACATGCTGAACATGAAATGTAAGTAATCCATACATATTTCTTTCTTTGCTTATATCTATCTTTTAATTATCAATTACATTACAGACAAGAGTCCGACAACACCACTTGCCATGAGAAGGTGCTATCTTTTGCTGATACTGTAGCAAAGTTCACAAAATGTTCAATTACGAATGCCCGACCCATAACATTTTGTGAAAACTGTGTTGTCGATTATATAAATTCAGTTAATGAACACAAGGATATATTATCTTCAAGTGACGTTAATGGCACTTGCAGATCACAATGGATAGATCTGGATAGATTGCAACTTGTCGAAAGTGGTTTCCACAATGTTATTCAACTTTGGGAGAGGGCACATTGTATAAGTATGATGATAACATATGTATATATATACATATATATATATATATATATATATATATATATATATATACATAGCTGGGCATTAACTCGTTAATCCGTTAATCGTTAATTAACGAAGTTAACATTTTGATTAACGGATTAACTTTTAAGTTAACTTTTGAAAATGTTAACGGACACGTTAACTTCCGTTAAAATGCCAGAAGTCCGTTAATCGTTAATCCAATTCCCAAAGCCGTGCCTGGCCAGCGTGCAGCGCGTGCACCGCACGCAGGCGGCCGAGGGGCGGCCAAATGAAAAAAAGAACAAATTCAAAGACGGCCATAACAAAAAATGGTCGAAATAAATAGCTGTCGCATTAAAAGTCTACTGAATTAAAAGGCGGCCAAATTAAAAGACTGTTGTATTAAGAGGCGGCCAAGCGCAAAGTCCGCTGAACTCATTCGCTGCCGTAAAGTCCGCTGTATATATCTAAAAGACCAAAATTACCGTAGTAAACATCAGCCAAATACGGCCCTATTGAATGCGACTCTGTTTCTAAATAATTTATAAGTTATAAACTTATATAAGTTATAACTTGCCTAAATCAAGTTGCATGAAGTATCCAACATGTGTTAATAATTGTCTTAACAATGAAAATATATTAATTCATGAGTACATTGCAATGTAAAAAACTATCGCAGATTATTCAATTTTGTACAAATTTTCTAAAAATATTAGTTATTTTTTATAAATAGTTTGAAAATTACATATTATTGAACAAGAAACAAACTGTAGTAAATTAAAAACAAGATCCAAATTTCCAAAGCAATTTGTTAATCAATAATTGAGAAACGACTCGTCGATTATTGACAAAATTTTATCAGCAAGATTTTCAAATGGAAAACGTTTGTAATGGTTTTTGAATTTTTAAAATCAATTCACTAGTGTAGGCTATAACGTGGACGAAAAATTTGAGACTTTTTTGAAAATTCTAAAGGCAAAACTAAGCAGCGCGAGCGCTTATCGAATTTACGAATTTTGATGATTTTTCAAATGGGATTGTGCATTTTTGAGAAAAGGTCGACTGAAGATGAAATTTTGACTCACGTAAAAAAGCGCTGCTCATTTTTGCAATCTTTGATAGTACATATTTTAAAAATTAAAATGACTTAAGGGGGCATTCTAGTGTAGAAATTCAAAAAAATCGATTTTTTTTTTATTTCATATTTTCAAAGTTTAACTATCTAAGAATATAAGTACAAGAAGGTTTTTGAAAATTTGAATTATTTTTGGAGATATAGGCATTTTACTGACTCGGTCTCCATACTGGTGTGGCTTCACGCAAAACTTTAAATGCGTTTTTCTCAGAACAGACTTTTTCAGTACTCTTGTCACGATTTCTGGAGTTCTACTCGACCAATTTATTTGAAATTTTCAGATAGTCTTGTTTATAGATCTATCTATAGTCTGAACTAGAATCATTCCGAAGTTCATATTTTTACTATTTTTAAAAAAGTCGAGAAACTCAAAAAAAAAAAACAGTAAAAAAAAATTTTTTTTCAAACAGTCGCCAATTTGTGAAAAAAAAATTTTTTACTCATCGCTAGTTCAGCCGATTGCGACATTATTGTAGATTAATGATCTTTTTATTTTTTGCATTTTCGATGGCTAGGAGGGCTGAAATCATGTCAAGACTGAGGTGCCAATTTTTTGAGACCACCCACTTCATCAGTTGCCAGTTTTTACAATTTTTAACTTTTTTATTTTTTAATTTTTGTTTTGTATTTTAATAATATTAATAAACAAATGGTAAAAAAATGGATAGTAAAAACATTCATTGCTTTCTTTTACGACACTTTAAAAATGACCTAAAATTCAGCGCTCTACACTAGAATACCCCCTTAATGTAGGGTCGAAATATTTAGTTATCTTAGAGACCATGATCACTATCGCCAAAAAAGTTTTATAAATATCATCGTAATTAAACACGAAGAAACGAACCGACCGATCTCTTAGAACTAATCAGCACGATTCCTAAATGATATCTTTCAGTTTCTGAATTTTTAAAATCGATGCAAAATTTTTGGCTAAAAGGTGTACAATAAATTTTATATTTTTCTGTTGATTAGAAACAGCTTGGCCGATCGTCGCACAAAACTGACAGACGTTAGTCATTATCTAGTTACATCAAATGACTTTTAAACTTTTGAATTGGATTTAACCGTTTTTGAGAAAACGTTGGCGAAACGTCAAAAATCGGCTTTCAAACGATTCAGAATGACTTAATATGTCGAGAAAACATGAAAATTACAAGACGATTTTTTTCGTGAGAACATATTGGATATTTTCCTATTATGCTATTTTTAAGGGCGGCCATTTATATGCTCGCACGCAGGCGGCCACATACCTCGGCACGGCCCTGCCAATGCCTACTATTTACCGCACGGCACAGCTTTAGCCAATGCCTTGTTAAATGGCATAGAGATAAGATTTGGACCACTCGTGAATGATGAACAGTGCCAACTTGTTCAAAAGACTTGTTCAACGATGTTGCATTCCTCGGGGAACAGATATTCACAAATCAATTTATTAAATACAATACTGCTATACCCTCAAGCGCTGCAGTTGAACGTTTGTTTTCCACGGGTAAAGACATTTTGACACCAAAACGAGCCTCGCTTTCAGACGAGAACTTCAACATGTTAATGTTCATGAAGAGAAATATGCACCTAATACCCGACGCTTAACCCGTCGCGCGTTTCCTATTTTTCGCAAAAAAAAACTCTTTCCCTTTATTTAGAAAAAAATTCTTGTAAAAACAATATGCAATCATAAAAACAGAAAGTTGACCAATAGCGTTATTATCACGGTGTGTGCATAAAGCGTGTCGCGCCATTAAGGGGTTAAATTACACATTTGAATTATACAAGTATTTTGTTTTATTCATAACCTGTTAACTTCCAGAACCTAAACCAATAAGTTATTTAAGTTCACTAACGCAACGATATAAAAATGTAATTTTACACATATTAACGGATTAACGATTAACGTTAACTTGCGTTAATTTTTCCGAAATGTAACGTTTTAACGTTTAACGAAGCTAACTTTTTTTGTAACGGATTAACGATTAACGAAGTTAACTTTTTGATTAACGGTGCCCAGCTATGTATATATATATATATATATATATATATATATATATATATAATAAATCTTTTTTATCTTCTTTCAGAATGTTACGACTGGTTGGACAACACAAGCCATCCAAACCTTTCCAATGAAACTCAAAGATTCACAAAGTTATACACTGAAACTATGTTTTGTATAAACAAATATAATAAAACAAATTTTAAGGAAAACACTATAGATGAAGAAGAAATAAATCAGAAATTAGTTTGTATTAAATGCAAACAAAAATACATAGACATAAACAATTTGTATGAGTATATTAAGATAAAAAATGAAGACATATGTATGGATATTGTAGATCTTGTAAGATAAACATTATATATCCATCAGTATTTATTGTTATTTTCTAATCGTTATGCTTTATATTTTTCAGATGAATAAAACTAGAGATTTGTGGAGCAATAATCTACAATGTTGGGAAAGAGGGAATCATCCTGAACTTGCATTTTATTTATCAACATCCTTCGTTGCAACTCTGCCTATATTTTTTTACTTTAGTATAAAAGTATATAATAATAGGAACATACAACTAGTTTCATAAATTATTCTAAATTCTTATTAGTAAGTTATTTTAATCATGGCTGTGCTTTTAGTAATGCTTTTTGCAAATATAATGTGCAATGATTTATATTTTTGTATAAATTTACTAAAATTGATATTACAATATATATAAATAGACGTCATTTTATTTTACTTCCAAAATATATTCTCAAAGAGATCAAGAAACTGCTAAAATAATAATAATGCTCTTGTTGACACACTATGAGCTGTGTCGCTAAACTTATAATAATGATAATGAAATTTGCATTCAGACTTCGGACACAACTCTTGTCAAACGTAAACTCTTAAATTTAATTATTTAATCAATTAAAAATTTAATTAATTAATTATATGTTTAATAATTAAAAAAAAGCAAATTTAAATTATATAACTAGGATTATTTAGAAAGAAATATACAATATAACTATATATTTAATATACAATATTAAAGATTTGATCCAAGTGTAAATGATTAGTGAAAACATAAATTCAATATCTAGAATGAAAATTAATAGTTATTTAAAGAAAAGTAAAAAAATGTTTTAAATCCACATAATACAAACTATCAAAATACTTAAGTCCGCATTTCAACTACGAGTTATTTAAAATTTTAATATCCATGAATATATAACGGCTTTCACTAGATGATAGTAAATTTTATCTAGTTTTCAATAATGTAAGTAAATTATAATAGTAAGTTCTAAATTCACCCGTTGTTGGTTATGAAAATATACTAAATACTAAAATAAACGACAAAAACTAAATCAAATTGAATCTGAACAAAATCTATCTGCAAATTTTTTCAATATCATACGTAAACCGAAGTGAAAGTTAGTGATAAAAATACCCGGTTCCCTGAGTCCTAGAAACGGGTATTTTTACTCGACCCGCTAATAGTGTGTAAACATTGAGTAAAAATTTCATTGTTCTGTTTAGGCTGCTCTTGGTTTTATGAGTTTGCTTGGAGGGGGTGGTATCTTAGAAAATCCTTCTGCATCGAAAACAGGCAATAAATCTCGAACTCTTCCAGATATAGAAGTTCCATCAACCAGCCTGCAAGTAATAAGTGTTATTTTTTTATCTTCAGATACAAAAAGTAATCGCAAAAAATCGAAAACTGAAATTTTTTATATATCTTCACGGTTTAAAAATTTCTGTACATTTTGGCATACCATAGAAAAAATGTGTGTATGTGTGCGGATACAAATTTTCGTCGACGATTTCGGGAACAAGGATCAACCGATTTGAACAATTTAAAAAACCGTTATGCAGTTTTTGAGAGAGCGGATCATCCGATTAGATTAATTCAAAAAACATTTCGCTTGTGTAGACGATGTACAGAAATGCGTTTACAAAAAAATTTGTAATTTTAAAAATTAAAAAAAAAAAAAATTTAAAAAAAAAAAAATTCGGAGTTTCAAAAACGATTTTGTTTAAAAAAATTCAAATTTTCGAAATTTTTCATCATTTAAAAAAAATCTAAATTTCGAAAAAATTTAAGAATATCAAAATTTATGAAAAAATCGATATCTTACAAAAATTTGAGAATATTTTTAAATTAAAAAAAAGAAATAATTTCAAAAATTTCCAAGTTCTCAAAAAATTAAAACAAAAGATTTTTACCAAAAATTCAAAAAAATGTTGAACTTTTAAACAATTTTCAAAATTAAAAAAAAAACTATTAAAAAAATCAAATTTAAACAAAAATTAAACAAATTTCTTGTAATAAAACACATAAGTTGCTTGTAGAATACTCTCTCATTGCCCAATTTAATAAGCACTTATAAGTTTACAGTAAATATTTATAATAAATAATCTATTTGAAAATATTTCAAACAATTGTAATTAATTATTGAAAAATTCTTATTGATAATTTATTATTTTCATTCCTCGAATATTTTGTTACGGTACGGGAAGTTCCAGCAATTTGCCTTAAGGCACGATTCTATGCACCACGAGTTTTTTGTTTTAACTTCAGACACAAAACTTAATTAAGTTTTAATAATTTTCAATAATTATAAGTTAACTAGCAAACCCGACGAACTCCGTTTCGCCACCAGATGGTTTCGTGAGAAAGATGAAGAAATTTTTTGTTTGTTTTATATTTGAAAAGGAAAAATTTGATTTTTTCACACAACAGTAATGAATTTATTTCGATTACAAAAATCGAAGTGTTTTCTAGTTGAACTTCCTAAGTAAATGAAAGTGAATCCGCCAATTATCCGTTTTATTGAAGTGCTCTTTGGTAAACCACATTTTTTGTTTTTTGGTCTGACGTTAAAACAAACAAAGCGGAAGGTTTCCCAACTCGTGAACAGGCAACGTATAGCTGCCCATGTGAAAAACAATGATTTTCTAAATAATCTATTTGAAATTTATCCCGCAAACACTAAGCTGAAAATTGCAATCGTTTGAAGTCAAACGGAAGACTAGTCGAATTCATTGGTATGTCACCAAATTGTCAGCAATTTTTGATTGAATGGTGAAATTCAGTGCGTGAACATCATTATTCTTTGCGGCAAGAGTTGCTCGTTGACTTAACCAAGCATAATTCTGATAATTCTCACTAATGTTATTACTCGAATTTTTAATTACGGTGCGTAAAGTTCCAGCAATTTGCATTAAGGCACGATGCCATGCATGACTAATTTTCTTAGCTATAAACCTTGCGGAGGCCTTTCCAACAAATTCAAAATTGTCGAAATCGGTTTGTGCGTTCTGGAGTTATATCGTCAAGAAGGAAAATCCGACTTATTTTTATATATGTGTAGATATATGTAGATAATCTATTTGAAATTATTTTTAATTACGTTGCGTGAATTTCCAGCAATTTGCATTAAGGCACGATGCCATGCAAGACTAATTTTCTTAACTATAAACCTTGCGGAGCCCGAGACCTTTCCAACGAATTCAAAATTGTCGAAATCGGTTCGTGCGTTCTGAAGTTATATCGTCAGGTAGGAAAACCCGGCTTATTTTTATATATATATGTAGATCATTTTAATAATGATAAGTTTTAATAATTTAATAGGAACTTGAGTTATTATTTACCTTGTTCCTTTCTTAGTTGCCAGCTTGACGCAGGCCGGTGCTAAAGTTTCTGTTGGGAAAAATGTGGCGCCGTAGAAGTCCAAACCGCTCTGCAGCAATGTCTTGTATTCGTCGTGAGAGGCAACGGTCACCCTAATGGGCGGCGGTCCGGCATCTTTAGCAGCGCTAATTGGAATACTGCAATCTTCTTTGCCATCATCTTTATCGCCGGCATTAGATCTCGTTTCAAGTGTTTGACTATTCGGTATCGATCTTGTCTCGATCGATGATAGAGGCCTTCTGATGTATCCTATAAATTTTCCATAATTGAATAAATAACTTCCCCTAGGGTAGGGTAGGGCGCGGCTAGTTGAGCATAGGGGCAAGTTGAGCAATCGAAATATCTCGAAAACTATTCACCGTCCGTTTAGGCATTATATGGCGGAAAGATAGAGGTTTGGGAGAAATAAACATCCCGCGATCGCTAATGGCCGCTGGACAAATGAGCGAAGCTCACGGGCGTTTTGGTTATTTTGAGGCCAAAAAGTAAAAAAGTAATTCATCACGAGTTTTCGTCTGGTTTAGTCAAATGTTATTTATTTTTAATCAGGTAAATGTTATTCTTCCATATAATTATAGTACATTTAATATGCACAGAGATTCTGGGTATAATTCTCACGGTTTTTTTAAAAACTCAGTTTTATTTTGAAATTCCGAGTTGGAGTTAGTTGAGCATAGTTGCCAAACTTGTTCTGTCACTAAGACAATTACCATTAATTTCCAGAAATTAATTATTATTTTTAAGATTTAAGCTAAGTCTATGAGTAATAATATAAAGAAATAATGATTTTAAACAAAAATACTGAATATATCGGTAAAATAATTCCTAAGATACGATATTGTTTTGTTGATTCTACTTTTGGTTAATTATTCAAAGAAAATTACTATAAGTTTTGTTTTCTCTGTCAATAAAGACTATTAATATAGAACTGGTTATTAAAAACTTATTTTATTTCATCACTAATCGACATTGAACCTATAATTTCATTATACTTTCTTAGTGCTCAACTTGCCCCACCTGTGGGGTACATTGAGCTTACTTGACTTTTTGCATTTAAACAGCTGTAGCATTTAAATTTTACTTATTACCGCAAATAGTATTAACACTTTTGTTAAGCGATAAACAACAAATCCATTAAGCCGTATAGCAATTTATTGAGACTTTTCATTCTACATCCGTTTAAGTAAAATTTTGCTCAACTAGCCCCGCCCTACCCTAATGGGCCAACAAATTGAAAATTAATTTTTTTGCATATATTCACGTTTTAGAGGTTTCTGAACATTTTGGCATATCACAGAAAAAATATATGTGAATGTGTTTTTTTTCTGTATAGCAAAGGAAATGCCTTTATGCATCCCAGACCGGTGTTCTGTCTGGGTATGTTGGACTCAATACCGCCCAAGATGTGTATGTGTGTATGTGTTTTTATGTATGAATATATGGATACAATTGTTTGTCCACATTCGATTCCTATTGATAGGAGATGTGCTGATTAATTTTTGGCAAAAGCAGGGCCAGCCGTTACGGAGATACGTAGCAAAGTGTGCAGAAAATAGAAATCGAGTTTTTGAGAGAACTGAGTATCCGATTTGAATAATTAAAAAAACATTCAATTCGTAATGATGGGGAGAAGTGGTGATTAGTTTTTGACAAAGGCACATGCAGCAATTTCGAAGATACAGAGCTAAATGTATGAAAAATGGCAGTTTTTGAAAAAACTAAGCATCCGGTTTGAATTATTCAAAAAATTGATGTGTGCCTGTCCGCAATTTTTTGCCCACGTTTACGGGCGCATGTATTAACCGATTTAAATTTAATTTTAAATAAAAAACATTCGATTTTTATTGATTTCGAGACGTGTTGGTTAGTTTTTAGCAAAGGCAGATCTAGCCGTCACCGATATACGGAGCAAAGAGTGCAGAAAATAAAAATCGAGTTTTTGAGGAAACTGAGCATCCGATTTGAATGGTTAAAAAAATATTCCTATTGACAGGGAAATGTGCTGATTAGTTTTTGCCAAAGGCAGGTTCAGCCGTTTTGGAAATATATAAAAATTTTCAAAAAAAATTCAAAACTTTAAAAAAAAAAATTAGTTTAAAAAAATTAAAATTTTCGGAATTTTTCAACATTTTAAAAAAATTAAAAAAATATTTAAATCGTTTAAAAAAAAACGATTTCTTACAAACATTTGAAAATATTTTAAATTTTCAAAAAAAAATTCTAAATTCCTAAAAAATAAAAAATAAGATTTTTTATAAAATTTCCAAAAAAACGCATTTTGTAACGTTCAATTCATAATGATGCGGAAAACTGGTGACTAGTTTTTGGCGAAGACAGGTCCAGCCGTTTTGGAGATACCGAGCTAAAGGTGCAAAAAAATGACAGTTTTTGAGAGAACTAAGCATCCGATTTGAATGATTCAAAAAACTTTCTGCTTGTGTTGACAAAACACAATTGCATTTGGAGAAAAAAAAATAGTTTTCAAAAGAATTCCTTTTTATAGAAAATAATGCAGAATTCAATTTTAATTTTAAATTAGAGTTCTAAAACTGTCTTATATACTTCAAATGAATAATGCTAACTTTGCTATTCAGTTTATATAATTCTTAAAAATATTAGACGATGTCCTTCATTTTAAATTCGATCGATTAAATTTTGTTTATTTACTTTTCTGTAAAGATATAAGTTACAGTATTTATAATAATATATTTGAAAACATTTAATATTCCTCGAATATTTCATTACGGTACTGGAAGATCCAGCAAATTGCCTTAAAGCACGATGCCATACACCCTAGTTTATATAATACAAATGACGAATACACCCGTCAACATTAAAAATCCAGCCACTTCTTCATGACGAGTATATTCGTCAATCACAGATAACTGATTAAATTTCATGGAAAATTAGAAAGTAAACAAAAATTATCACCTTGTGGGTACAATCGCACAACTTCAACCACTGAAGAAAATTTGTACAATGAGTGACGAACATCTTCTTCTGGTAAATTTTCTGGTACATCCAAAACATACAAAGTGAATGTTTTTTGAGGCCGACAGGGTATGGGAACCTGTAGAAAAAAATTCATAGTTAAGAGGATTCTTGATAAAAATATTAAATTTTATACGTACTTTGCGATAGAATCGCGCTCCTGTTACTTTGTGAAATCCCTTTCTAAAAACGGCTTGGTAGTCTTGAGTATCTGAAAATTTGAAAAGGATTCCGGTTGCTGTTTTTGTTAGACTGAAGCATCCCCTAAAGTTCATTTTTTCACAAATTCCAGCTGCTCGATCCATCGATAAATCGTGCGATGGTGTTAACAGGAAAGCTCCTACGCAAATTATGTAGTAATTATATGGCAGAAATAGAAAAAATATGAAAATCAAACCACTAGTCAACTCAGTAATTTTGAAGGAATTTCAGCAATTTTCTGTTATATTGTCAATGATTTCAATTAAGGGGCATAACTATAGTGTGAAATTTTCAAAAAATCGAATTTTCAATTTTTTCATATTTCGATAGGTTTTACCTTTAAAAATAACATATCAAAATTTTAAATCGATATCTTAAATAGTTTTTGAGTTACAGTCATTTAAAGAGTATATACAATATATAGTATAACGAACATTTAATCTTTAAACGCGTTTTTCTCGAAACAGAATTTTCCGAATTTGCTGCAGCGATTACTCAAAAACAGATGATCCGATCACTACAATTTTTTTTTACATGTTCTATAAATAGTTCTCCGTAAAATAAACTATCGATTTTTTGATCGGATCAAAAATTGAATTTTGGCAGTCCAAAAACGACCAAAATTTTGGGTAAAGTTCGACTTTTTTTAGAAAACGCCGTCATT